AACACCCTTCGCCACGGCTTTCTCTGTGTTTTTCTGAAGCACCTGATACTTTTCATTTTTGGACGAGTTTGATATTGAGTCCAGGTTTAGGTATCACTAAAGCTCCGCCAACATGTCTCTCTGCACCAACTTACCTTCAGAATCAGGACGTTATTTGTATGAGAGGTGGGAAAGAAAGGCATGAAGGGAAAAGTTGAAACTGTGCAGTTAAATGGAACAATGGCCAGACTTAGAGTGCATATAAAGTGCCTCTTCAGAAAGAAAATCCTTGAAGTCTCTTGACTCAATATAATACAAGCGCATTTTTCACACCTTTCCTTTTTTTCCCATGCTTTGGCGCCACTTTTTCCCCCTCTTCACAAAATGCCTGACCAAATTTAGTCTCAAATCTATCAGCTTAGTGTCATCGGTGGCTTCGTCTGTGCCAGAACATCAGACATAATGAAAAAATGAACAAAAAAGCAACAAGAAACAAGAAACCTTGTTCAAATGAGCCCAAAACAGTGCCAACCTGAGGCCTAATTAAAATGCATATTTTTCTGAATTGCAAGCCATTTAGGCCTTCTCCTTTTCTGCTGCTGATCTCCATAACCTTAAAATCACATTAATAGATGAAAAAGGCAACACCGTTTCTGCTGACTGGGTCTGCTTTGAAATGCAAATGCTTTAATCGGTTATATATGTATGACAGAGTCCCCTACATGCGTACTTTAAATCGGCCATTCTGTCCGGAACCCAGACGCCTCAGAAGTGATGACCACACAACAATCAGTGGAAGAAAGGAGAAAGAAAAACGATGCAAACAAAGAAATAAACACCAGCGCAGGCAGGACATTTTGAGGTGAGGGAAGAGCTGTCACTGACTTAAAATAAAAGGTTCCTCTGCCACATCGGAGCCAGCTGTCCAGTAAATAATTGATGTTTTTGGCTCCTAACTTTGCATCTGCCAGACTAATCAACTTCATTCTAGTGATGTGGCATGTTTATACAGGATCAGCATTTTAATTATTTGACAGGCCTCTTTTTAGCTGCCTCACAACGTTGGCCAACATGCAGGTTTGCGTGTTTGTTTATGTAAGTGGAGGCTTTATTTTTCATAAGAATAACGTATTAAATCTCTTCACTGCCCAATCATTCAACTTCTGAATAATATCCCAGCTGTAAAATACTTTTAAACAGTATATCAATATTACGTGCATGAGAGAAATTAACATATATTAATCAACAAAGCGACATTTCAACTCAATTAGGCGGCTTGAGTCAACATGGGCCTTTGCGTTTTAATATACGGGGCCTTGAAAGGCCTCTGCTCAATCTCTTTTCCCTCAAGACCTCGAATGTCACATTTGCATGCGGGGCTTGAGGTCGGACACATTCAGAATGTCTTGCAGTTTGGCAACAACTCAATGTCATCTAATTGTCACTGTGGATCTGCCTTGGGCCATCAAGCAGGCATCTTATAGCGAGTGGGTAACGTTGTTAAATTGGGCCTGCGTCCCTTTCATGCTTGAGAAGATTGTATCAAACACTGTTGCTGACCACTGGCAGTGACGGTTTTTCAGTCTTGACAGTCTGAGTGATTGTACATACTGGCAAGAGCAAAAACGTGCAGGGTAACATAAAGCTAGCATCGAGCTGTTTCACTGTCCATTGAATGTTGATGTGCTACAGTTTTTCACTCATGTTTGATGCGGAAGCATGATTAAGAGAACGAATCTGCTCGTTACACCTCAGCAATGGTCATCTTTGCATCATACAGCACTACTTTCTCATAAATAGGGATGAAATGCCTCATATCATTACTGTCCATTACAAAACACATGTATTTCAATTGTTTTCAATTTTTCTTTTTCCACGTTATTTGAACACAGCTGCCCTTTACAGTCTGTGAAAATGTCACGAATAGACCAACAGAAATGTTCAGAAATTCAATCTCTTTACAGTAACGTACATTAGAAGTTAAGAGCGTTTTTGCCTTCTACTGTAGAGCTTCCACTTTGGAGATACGTGATTATTATTAGTTTTTTTTTTGGACAGTGGTGATATGTTCTTCGATAATCTTATGAAGCTTTCTCCTTCACAGATAAACTATACTCCTGGCAAAATGGGTACTCTGTAGTATGAAGGTTCTATAAACAGAACCCTCCTTGGTGCTACCTAGAGCCATTTTAGACAGTTTAAAGAAAACATATACCACAGGTTTTCCATCATAGAACCACTTAGACATACACTCTTAAAAATAGTTCTTCAAGGGTTCTTTAGTGACGGCAATGACTGTATACAGAACCACAAACACTCAAACCATTTGAATGCAAAAATGAACATGGTTAAACGGTTCTTCTCTATGATAAAAAACTGCTCTAGTTGGTTCTTTAAAGAAAGTATTTTTTAAACATTGCACCAAAAAGCACTCTGCTATTGTTACAGATCATAAAACCTCTTGTTTTAGAACGCTTTTTTGCAAAAAAGTGTACAATGCATTCTTTGAGTATTCGCTGTTCTAAATATAGCCACTGCCTTTACTAAAGAAACCTTGAAGAAACAATTTTAAGGGTGTATGGTCAAATTACTCCCCTCTCTGACAGAAAGCCTGTTGTGTATGGCTCTTTAAAAAACACTGTACAAAATACAACACCAAGAAAGCACTCAAGTCACAGAATCTTTTCTTTTGGTGCTATATAAGAACCATTTGATGCAAAGAGTGTAGAATGCATACAAGCAGCTCTTTAGGAGTTTGTTGTTCTATATGTAACCACTGCCTTTACTAAAGAACTCCTTTTTAAAAGTGGAATTCCAATTATTTTTCAAAATTTCATAATTCTTCATAATTTAATGGTTCAGCTGTAAACAAAGCCGTTCAGAGTGGTTTGGTGTGAAATGCTCCATTCTAGAGAAACTTATAGCGTCTGAATTGTTCACAGTGGTGGTGATGGGAACTATATACATATACATACACACACACACACACACACACACACGCACACACATCATCTAAACCGCTTATCCTTCTGGGTCGCGGTGGAGTGCTGGAGACTATCCCAGCTATCATTGGACGGAAGGCAGTATACACCCTGGACAGGTCGCCAGTCCATCGCAGGGCAACTAATATATATATATATATATAGACACACATTACATATACAAACTCAAAAGACAGTTGTAGGTTCACTGGTAGTTTTGGACAGTAAATAAAATGTCTATATTTGTGTTGTAGTCATGGTGACCCCTGGTTCCTATCACCACCACTGTAAAGACATCTGAGTCTCTACAAACAACCATTTCACATCAAACCACTCTGAATGACTCTGTTTACATCCCAACGATTGAGTTATGCAGCAATTTTGAAAAATCGGTGGAATTCCCCTTCAGGGGTGCTGGATCGATCCTCAGATTGCACTGCCTTTTTTATTCGCAACCTCATGCCTGATAAATTCAGATTAATTGTCTGTCCCCCAAAATTCCCCGCATGCCTTTGAACAAAGACCAGCTCCCGTCACTGCCATTAACTCTGATGACAAAACTAATGATTCTTTCTCCAGCTTGAAAAACAGCGGCCCGAGCATCACCGACTCCTCTGGAACAGCGCGAGGAGGACCACACAGCCAGCTCACGGACCGGTCAGAGAAGGTAAAAGGTGCTCGTTAAATAAATAAATGAGACTGGCTGTGAGATGAATGGAGGTTAAGGTGGAGAGCGCGCATCATCTGACTCCACTCACTTTGCACTGCGTCGCCGTTTTCCTCCCACTGTCTCCTAACGAGCGTTCGCGGGGGGCTGACCTGGGCACGTGGGCTCGTTTGGGGACACATTCGAATTTACATCAAGCGTCCAGACGGCCGGTGAGCGCATGCACGGAGCTAGAGCGCGTCAAACAGGCCGGACGTGACGGACAGGGGTCCTGCTCTTGGAGATCTACCACCCTGGAGAGCTCAGATCCAACACACCTGACGCCCCTGAAGACCTTCATTAACTGGATCAGGTGTGTTAGATTAGGGTTGGAGCTAAACTCTGGAGGGTGGTAGATCTCCAGGAACTGGATTAGGATCTCCAGATTAGGAACGCCAATAAAGAGGTAGAGCTGGACAGCATGGCTGCGGTCATGAATGGTCTCCAAGGTTGGTCAGAGCAGCTGAAAAGCAAGTTCTCTCCTCAATCTGCTCAACCATGAAGGCTTAGAGATCAGATATGGAGGCTTCCACGCCATCCTGCTGCACCCTCACCGTCATCATGGTCTTATAGAGTGAGGTTAAATAAATCAGCGTCGTGGTGAAGGAGGCACCAGCCTGGCGAAGGCTCAGTCAACAAGTCGTGATGATTACTCAATGTCAAACAGACTAAGTTAATAGAAGAGGCTGGACGCCTGTTTGGGCCCTGCTGCGTTGGGCTTTATTGGCTCACCGTGCTCTACAAAAGTTTATCTCACACTGTGTCTGCCCATTAGGCTGGGCCTAACTTTTTTCCCCCCATATGTCCCCCAGTTCTCTCCCTCAATAGATAAGAAAAAATGCACTAAAATCCCCTTGGATGCTTTATCTTTCCATTCTTTTCCCATTTTGCCACTCCAGGCGCACACGTAGGCTCTTTCCACGCAGCCTTATTCTAAATTTTGCCATTTCTCCTTACTGACAAGCTCATGAGTCACCCATTCGGATTGAAGTTAGGGGGGATTTTTTCCCCCCACGTCTCAGCCTACGTTCAATAACAGACAGCAAGCCTAGCAGGTGCTCCAATCCGTTTGCGCCAGCTTACAACGGGCGCAATCGCAACTTATACACTGCAACAGCAACAGCAAGTTGTTGTGAAGTAGCTCCACCACAAAAAAGCCATGAAGCATCAGCGCACAGCGTTTGCTCCTCTGGTGGGAATGGATGAGGGGTGATGAGGGGTAAGGGGGGGGGGCGCACACCTGACGAAGAAGTCAGTCGCTCTTCCAGGCCGATTGCGCTGACGCCAAAACAAAACCAACACCGCAAAAAGAGAGAAGCACTTTGGAAACTCACCGTTCGCTGCGGTGATCAGACCTGCGAAAAGCAGCAGGATGTGCTTGAATGTCCCCATGGCAGGCATGTCCGCTGTTATTCCACGCAGCATTGCCCCCCCTCCCCTCCTCCTCCTCCACCTCCTCCTCCTCCCTCCCCAAACCAGCCCTCCTCGCTCTGTGCCGATTTCTTCTTCAGCGATCACAGTAAGGCATAGAGATCCAGCTTTGGCGAGGAGTCGTGGCGCAGCCCGTGGTGCAGGGGCTTGCCTGCGTTCGCGCTCATATCACCCAGGAGGAGCCGCAGAGGGAGCTGCTGAGACGGAGCGGAGCGCCGGAGCGGTGCGGTGGCGGGAGCGGAATGGGCTGGAGAGAGCAGGGGGAGCCGAGGCAGTGCGCTGGACTCAACCATCGCGGTGCGATGCAGGGGAAAAAAAGAGAGAGAGGAGAGAGAGAGAACGTATAGCAGCCCTCCCTCCCCTCAACGGCGCGCGCGCTGCTGCTCCGCTCGCGCGTACCTGACCAAACGTCTACAGCAGGCTTACAACATTAGCGCTGTGAGCTGGCAACGATGAAAGGGGTCGGGGGGGGGGACGACGACAACAAAAAGAGATAAGAAGGTGGGCTGCGGGGGCAGAGGAGAGAAAAAAGACGTGAATGTGATCGTAAAAAGGTGTAGAGATTGTTTTACCCATCTTTACATTCATTTTAGTTCAATCTCTCATTTCTTTTTGCAAAATCAAGCACGCACATTAGACGTGTTAGGAAAAGGACGCCTCCCACACAGCAACATGAAACCTGTGTGCGTGCGTAACAGAGCGAGAGACACGCAAAAAGAGCCAGAGAGTGGGTGAGAGAGAGAGAGATAGGGGTAGAGAGAGGTTGTGCGTTTATGCATCCCATTTGTGTAGATTAACAACTGGCACGTCTTCATTCAGTCGACCTAATAAACATCTAATAGCAAAATGAAGCAGACTGACAACACACACACACACACACACACACACACACACACAGTTCACGCATCACACTGGAAGTGAGACGATCACCGGGGACAAAAACGTGCCCACGAATCTGAAGGGCCCCATTTCTGACCAGCCAGGAGATATAAAGTGTGACTCTGCTGCCATCTGCTGAAATTCTTTTAAACGGAGTTGGCCAAGCAGGCAGGGACACTGAGAAACCGGCTTTTACATAATTTAAACATGTCGATAAGATGCGCTACATCAACGCGATTCCTGCCAAAAGAAGTAAACTGAAAATCAGCTACTCCGCAAAATCTCCTGAAAGTGCTGACAATGTTTTTCATTAATCAAGCTTTAATCACGTATTGTCTTGCAATTAGTTGCTATTGCTTAATCCAGATAATGAGAGACAAGAGGCGATACGAGATGATGAGAGACAATAAGAGAAAATGAGAGACAATAAGAGACAATGTGAAACCACAAGAGACAATAAGAGACAATGTGAGACAATAAGAGACAAGAGAAAATAAGAGACAGTGAGAGAAAATAAGAGACAAAAAGAGATGAGAGACAATAAGAGACAACATAAGACAATAAAAGACAATAAGAGACAATAAAAGACAATAAGACACAATAAGAGACAACAAGAGACAGTCAGATACAAAGACATAATAAGAGACAACAAGAGACAATGAGACAAGAGACAATAAGAGACAATGAGAGATAGTATGAGACAATAAGAGACAAAAAGAGATGAGAGACAATAAGAGACAACATAAGACAATAAGAGACAATAAAAGACAATAAGACACAATAAGAGACAACGAGAGACAGTAAGAGACAATAAGAGACAACATAGGACAATAAGAGACAATAAAAGACAATAAGACACAATAAGAGAGAACGGCAGACAGTAAGAGACAATAAGAGACAACATAAGACAATAAGAGACAATAAAAGACAATAAGACACAATAAGATACAACGAGAGACAGTAAGATACAAAGACATAAGAGACAACAAGAGACAATGAGAGACAATAAGTGACAATGAGAGATAGTAAGAGACAATGAGAGACAAAAAGATGAGAGACAATAAGAGACAACATAAGACAGTAAGAGACAATAAGACACAATAAGAGACGAGAGACAATAAGAGACAACATAGGACAATAAGAGACAATAAAAGACAATAAGACACAATAAGAGACAACGAGAGACAGTAAGATACAAAGACATAATAAGAGACAACAAGAGACAATGAGAGACAATAAGAGACAATGAGAGACAATATAAGACAATGAGAGACCATAAGAGATGATGAGAGACAATGAGAGACAATGCAATGACATATTTGGGATTTTTAACTGACTTGGACTTTAGACTAAAAGGCTTTAGGCTATCTGTATTAATGCTTTGGGTTTAAATAGATCAGAACATATTCCTTGTAAATATCTAATTTCTGAATACTTTTTTTAAATTAGTTTTGTTTTGCATTTATTTATTTATTTATTTATTTATTTATTTATGTGGAACTGGGGTTGAACTAAGTTGGTAGAAAGGTCTATATAAGGTAACATTGTATTTAAAAAGCTTTATTAATTCTCCCTGGTTATCAATTGGGGTATGGATTTGTACTTGATAATATGTATGATAATACTTTTGTATGATACTTTTAACTCAAGTATATTAATGAGGAAAGGACTCTAATTTTTACTCAGTTGCCTGTAGTTATTAGCATTTAATTACTAATTCCTTTGTGTTTAATTTCATTATGTTGTGCTGGTCAGAGTATCTGTACTGCTTTCTGATTGGCCACAAATCTGACTTTTTGTATATTATTTTATTTTAGACCAAAAGGGCCTAAAAAGAGAAGAATAAAGACTATTAGTGCCTATGCTGATGGCTCAGAGGCCCTGCTGCACTTCTTTAAGTTACCTGACATTTGACCAGACACTGTTTTCCCTCTACTCAATTTTTTTTTTCTTTTTTGGAAAGTCATGATTCAGTTGCAGTAATATTACTTGAATTGAGGTTCAGGCTACACCTCTAAAATTGTGGTTGACTAAAGTCATACTAAACCTCCTGGAATAAACCTGACATGCTGACCCCACCCATTGCCTCCTGTAGTATGTACCTAACGAACTATTGTGATAGAAGTTTGTTTGTGTTCAGTTTTTTAGTTGTGCGTCCTCTTTGAGGGCAGTCACTTCATCTGCTTTGGTGTCGCTGTCCGCTCTGTGGTGCTGAAACACGGCGATTAGAAAAGGTGCATGTACTGTTTTTTCAAGTTCCTCTGCTTTCCGTCCTGTTATGCGGGCCGTTTAAGCACCACCTGCTTCTGTGTTTTTTTTCAGGATGTTGGCATCAATGTCGATGAGAAGAGGGACGTTTGGGGCGTGTTTGAATGCTGATGATGAACGTAAATGTTGTCTCACTGTTTTTGGACGCGACTCAAAAATCTGGTCTGAGTAAATTCCATCGAGCTTCCGAAGTTAATTTCAATCTGATCAATGTTGAAGCATCAAACTGCCTTTTTGGAGCCCAAACCATCGTCCCTCACAACTAAGGAGCTATGATGATACTCAACTTTCCGAAGACATGTTGTTACTTTGGCATCAATAGTGATGGTCAGTTTTGAATAAATGCAATGAATCCCACATACCTCGAGTGAGAAAGTGGGTAGGTGTGGCAATAAAATGGCAATAGTGGGACATAAAAAGTACATAACACTTTCAGAAAGACCAAAAAATTGACAAAATGCCATGATAGAAAATAGTGCACTCTTATGAATGGCTTGGCCCAAATCATCCAAGCTTTGTTTAAGATATCTTAAGTTTTCCCATAAATAAACACAGTACTGTGCACAAATTTGAGACCTTTCATTTATTTAATTTCCTGCCAAAACAGACATTAAGTAGAAGTTATTCATTCTTCAGGAGATTATTCTGAGGAGATTAGATAAAATAATCCACCTGCATAAGGAAGGAGAACGTCAAAGCAAAACAAGTAAAAAAACAGGAGTTTTCCAAACTGCAGGTTCAAAAAATTCATTAAACGTTACTGAGAAAATGGTTCTCCTAACAACCACCTGGAAGACGTGGTCGACACCAAAACTGCCCCCATTTTAAAATAAACAGCACTTAAAGCTTTCATCTTTGAGAGAGAGGAGAAAATCAAGCTGCTTCAGATCTGAAAACATCCACAGATGTTCCTTTCTTACTTGGATTGCTTGGATGCTGAGAAGCAGAAAATACAACCAAATTTTAAGACTGAACTTTGGAGGCATGTCTGCAGATTTCTTTGAGAAACTGAAAGTGAGTCCCCTGAAAAGAATGGAATTTTGTTAAATATATGTTTTCCAAATTTTTCCTGATACTAACAAAAATAGAAAGATGTCGTAATTGGCTGTTTTTACTGGAAATTCAGTAAATGAAATCTGATGTCTGATACTGTATGATATTTAATTTCAGCTTGTTCAACAAAGTCCTCCTTTGTTTCTTGCAATAATAGTTTTCTCATCAACAAAGAGTTTTTAATATCTGGCTTTAATAAAACCACACACTAAATTAAAGTAAAATGTTTTAATTAAACATTTAATTAAACATGTTAAATTTGCATGAATAAAATTACATCAACACAGTTGATGCCTTCTTGAACTGTGTCAATGTAATGCATATTATTTATAATAAAGCTTTCATAATAAATGTTTCTAAAAGGTTCTTGGCTTGGACATGTACAGTTTTAGGAAGAACTTTTAACAGCTATGGAACGTTTACATTATGTAGAGATTCTTTAAGCTTTAAAAGGGTTCAATCTTAGCAAAAAGGGTTGAATTTTGAACAAAAAAACAGTTCTTTGACTTGTGACAATAACAGAACCCCTTCTGGTGCTTTATAGAACCATTTTTAAAAGTTCTTTAACAAACCATACACAATATAGAGAACCATTTCACTGTGCCGATAACCATTTAAACATTTATGGGTTCTTTTAATTTGTCATAGTTGTGTATGTAACTGTTGTCATTACTAAGGTAACTTCTTTTTTCTAAAGGGAAATTCCACCAGTTTTTCAAAATTTTATGTGAATCAAAAGATTAGATGTAAAAAAAGAAAATTGTGGTTTGGTGTGAAATGGTTAACTATAGAGTCTCAGATTTC